AGAGAGAGAGAGAGAGAATCAGACTGTGTTGGTATGAGTGTAGTAGGAGTGTGGAGATAAATATAGGGTGGTAGTTGGCAGGTGTTATTTAACGTGAACTAATGTTAGAAGGACTCACTTATTTGAATGTGTTGTGGAAAAATATCACAATTTTTTAATAATGATATAATTTGAATTTTTTTTAAGGTTTTGGATCATTCAATCCTATGACCAATATTTATTTTTATTTTTGTCACCGACAATCATTCTCATGCGCGACTCTAGATATAAATATAGATATAGGTCTATAGCCTTATATTTAACCTTTGGGACTGTACTCTGTAGCCTGTACATGATTGGATACAAAAATTTCTTAAAAAATTCAAACATTTTTAACTCAACCACTTTTTTAACTCAACTTTAACTCAACTCACTATCATCAATATTATAAATATAATTAAATAATATCAATCAATCATTCTTACATACAACATCAACCTTAATTCACTATTCATCTACTCACATAAATATAACTAACTATCACATCACATTTTCTCTCTCTTACTTTTACATCAATTTAATTTTAATTATTTTATTTTAAATAATATTTTATCTATATCCACTAACAACTAACCATACCTACTTTTTCAAATTTAACCAACCCAAATCAAAACACCATTTAATTTTAATTATTTTATTTTAAATAATATTTTATCTATATCCACTAACAACTAACCATACCTACTTTTTCAAATTTAACCAACCCAAATCAAAACAAAAACAAATTTATATGAAGCATGCTCTAAGTTTGCCAAGCATCCCCGAACCCGAAGAAAACACAATGCCTCCAGTAGTGGTGGAAACTCGAACAGCCATGGCGTCTTACGGTTGCAGAATTCCTGCCAGAGCCCTCGTAAACAGATCGAAGACTTCTTCTTTCTCACGATTCTCATCCGCGAATACCCGTTTCCTTCCCTCCAATTCACTCCGTCAGTTTCGTGCAATGGCGACCATTTCCGAAGTCTCCTCGCCATTCAAGAAAGTCCAGATTGAAAGAGATAACTCGGTAGGATTAATTTTTGTTGGGCTCCATCGTTCTCACAATTTGTAGAATAAAAATGGTTTACACTTTCTTGAGTTAGGGTTTTTTTTGGTCTAATATATTATTTATTAGTTTTGATTCGGGAGGAGATATTTGGAACTTTTAGTGAATATCTCCTTGTGTACAATAATCATTTGCAAAATGGGTGTGGGTTTTTGACTGTTTATAAATTTAATTCCATTCTTTTTTTATCTATCAGAAAACATTAATGGTTAGAAATTGATATCTATGTGGATGTATTTACTCATGTATTTCATTGTGTTATTGTGTCAAATGTATACGTTTAAGCTTTTGTATTTAGCTATGTATGTTTTGAGATATTTCTTGATTGGAAAATTTGTTGAGTAGACATTCTCCGCCTATGTCATTGGGAGAGATGATGCACCGGGGATTGTTGTGCTTCAAGAATGGTGGGGTGTTGATTTTGAGATCAAGAATCATTCCCAGAAGATTACCCAGTTCGATAAGGGTTACAAAGCATTGATACCCGAGTAAGAAAAAGAGTATTGTTCATGCAAGTTGAGATTTACATTTTTTTTCTGATATTTATTATTCTATTTGTTTTATGGTTGAATTTTCTCTTAAGGTGTTCGTAGATGTCCATACCTTATCCTTTTCCTTTTCCTTTTTCTTGTCAATAGCTTGTACAAAGGGAAGGTTGGTCTAGGTGCTGCTGAAGCTCAACACTTGATGGATGGTCTTGACTGGAAAGGTGCGGTAAAGGATATTGAAGCCTCTGTCAACTGGCTCAAGGAAAATGGTTCTAAGAAGGTGTGTGGCGTTTTATAATGTCTAAATATCATTGTTGTCAGGCAGAAATCTACAAAGAAGTTCATAGTCGGTGCTAATTATGTGTGTTTTTAACTTTCTTTTAGTTGTGTTGAGAAATAAACTTGTATCTATATTGACGCAGTTTACATATTATATTCCAATTGACATTGTGCTAGGTGATGAAATTTCTCAATGTATGATGAATCTTTCAATGTAAGAAGAAAGAAAGTTTGGAACTTTAGTATCTCATTATTTCCTTATAACCACGAATCCTTATCATTAGGTGATATGCATAAGTCATAACCCGCCACCTGTTCCGTTAATGATTTGAATCTTTAATTCTATGTTATGAGTTTTATTCCATGCCATATTTGGAGTTTGAAAACTTGTATTGCATGAATAGTCCTTGGATACTATGAGTTGTCAAAACTAATTCGCTTTTTACTGAAGTTGCTCAACTTGAGCACTTTTACATTGTGAGGACCCTCACAGAATACATTTCTAACTTAAGATAATTTTACTCCACTTAGCTCATTTTTGAGGTGACACAACTCTGTGCAAATGCACAGCTATAATTCCTACTTGTTTTACTAGTAAGATTTGCTATAGGTTGGTGTTACTGGGTTTAGCATGGGTAGTGCCCTAGCTATTGCAAGTTCTGTATTGGTCCCGGGGGTTGATGCTGTGGCATCATTTTATGGAGTGCCTTCACCTGAGCTTGCCGACGTCACCAAAGCTAAGGTACCCGTGCAGGCTCACTTTGGTCAACGTGATACCTTTGCTGGTTTTTCGGATGTTGAGGTATGATCGGTGTATATTCGAGATTCTTTTGTCTTCCTATGTGATTCTCTTTGATAACGATTAACATGTAGATATTTTGGAACTTTCACTTCCTGTCTTAATTCCTACATTAAAAGGTTTCGAGATATTGTACTTGAAGTTTCTTGATAAATTTCTTTAATCTAGAAGCAAACAAATTTAGAGTTCTAACTACTTTGGTTTTCAACCATGAATCTTGATTTAATGAAACAATTCTCAATTTTCATATTTTTTATTCCCTAGCCGTACTTAAATGGTTTCTGATTATGTAGTTCCTCATGCAACAAATTGTTCCTCAGCATATTAAACGACCCCCAGAAGGTCAAAACTTCTCCAGTGACTTAGATGCTCCAACTATCAGTATTATCACTTGTTGCTTGAAACACTGATATTTGGCTTTATGTCTAAAACTATATATAAGTACTCTTATTTAACTTTTGAGCCATTGGCAAACTACACCTATGATATAATATTATCTGTGTTATGCGGTAAATCTGAAGAGCTGCCAATATACTATATCTAAATACTTGAAGACTAAAAGAGGTATCTTTATTTTTTGTTTATATTTTGTTTCTTGGTACATAACTTTGTTCCAGACAGCAAAACGTTTCGCATTTGAAGTGAGGGTTGTCGAACATGAGGTGTTCATTTATAAGGGAGTCGGGCACGCCTTTATGAACAGGTCCCCTGAAGGGATTGAGAGAAAGATAAGGATGGGAATAAATGATGAAAATGCTGAAGCAGTAAGTAACTTGGCATGGCTCCGTTTTCGTGCGTGGATGGCCCATTACTTGTCGGGCTGATTAGAGGCTTTCGCACATAATTAACTAATGAATAATTATAGTCGGCAGTTTTTGGTAATCGATATTACGGATATGTATCCCTAGTAATATTTATGGATGGATATGCCCCTTGGTTGTGCTTGTGGAAGCTGGAGTTCGTGGGATATTTTGAATAGTGTCTTTATTAAATCATGGTTGCATAATGAGTTCATGATTTTTATGTGAAGCGCTTGACTCATGATTTCTTTCTATAATTCATTTATTGGGTAAATTGCACCAAACCCCCCTGTGTTTAACGAAATGTGCGCGTTTCCCCACTGTGTTTTAAAAACTGCACCAGACCCCCTTGTGTTTATGTAATTGTTGCACGGTTCCTCCATTCCGTCCAAGTTAACCGCGCGTGTGTGACACCTTCTCTAACTGCGAGATTTATTCAATTTTTTTATTTTCAGAATAATTAATTTACCATTTTACCCTCCTGAATCTTATTGAAAAAGCCAAAAATTTATAGTGTAGGCAGTGGGACTCGAACCCAGGATGCCCAAGAGATAGCATGGCAACAAAGCAACTAGGCTACATGACTGTTGTGATATCTATTGAACATACATATATTTATAATACAATACGGAAATGATTAAATAAAATAAAAATAAAGGAAATAAAGTAAATAAAAATATGATACGTAAATTAATATAAATTAAATAACTATTAATAATAATAACTTGAAATAAAATAAATTAACATAAAAATAATGAAACAATTAAATTAAAATAAAGTAAGATTAAATTTAATATATAGTAGCACGAATTAAAGATAAATAAATTTTTAATATTTAATTACTAAAATAATTTAATTATTAAATTTTTAAATTAAAAAAATGATAATAAAATTAAATATAAAATAAACACAATTAAACTAAAAATTTTATAAGATAATAAAGTATAAAAATTGTAAAGTAAATAATATAATTAATCAGATAAGTTATTATGTTATAATAAATTAAAGTAAATAAAATAAATAAAAATATAAAAGGTAACTAAATATCAATTAAATAATTAATAATAATAATAATAATAATAATAATAATAACAACAACTTGAAATAAATTAAATTAACATGAAAATAATGTAACAATTAAATTAAAATAAAGTAAGATAAATTTAATATAGTAACATTAATTAAAATTAAATAAATTTATAAGTTTATTTTTTTTTTGTACAATATAAGAGGCCGAAGCCTAAGCAAGCACTAAGACATCACACGACGTGGACGAGCCACCCCTAAATAAAAATAAAATAAAAATATTATAAGATAATAAATTATAATAATTGTAAAGTAAAATAATATAATAAATCAAATAAGTTATTAATAGATTAAAGTAAATAAAAATCATAAAGTAAATAAAAATCATAAACTATTATAATATAATAAAGAAAACACAATTTAGCAAATACGTTAATATAATTTACTCTAACATACAATATCACTAAACAAATTGAAATAAATTATAATTTTTTTAGTAAATGATTTATTTTTTAAAAAATAATTTAATTTCTAATTTTTATTATTAAAATTTAACATAATTTGATTACATTATGTTAAGATAAACAAAATAAATAAAGTTTGTTAACTAAGATAATATAAAATGAACAATGCAATAAAATAATATAAATTACAACAAATAATAAAATATATAAATAATCTGAATATAATTTAATAAATATTATTATTTTAACTTTGATTTTTAAATTTAAATATAATATAAATTACAACAAATAATAAAATATATAAATAATCTGAATATAATTTAATAAATATTATTATTTTAACTTTGATTTTTAAATTTAAATATAATTTATTTTTATTATTTTGTTTTTGTTTAATATAATAAGTTAATTTTATATTTTCGTTTGGTTAATTTTATATAACTTGGTTCATTATATTTTAATTTATAATATATTTATATTTTAATAATTTAATTTAATATGATTTATATTACTTTTAAATTAAATTTCATTTATCCATATGTAATGCCTATGTATATTAAACTTTACCACATTTAACACTCAAGTTTGAGTGGTGTAGTGGTAGCTTGCTTTGCATGCTCATGAGAGGTCATAGGTTCGAACCTGTGGACAACCTTTTTTTTTTTAAATTCAATTTCTCGCGATATATCCAATATATCGTGAGAAATTCAATTTATCGTAAATATATATATAATATTAGAAGGGTATAACGGTGTTTTTGTATAAAAATTAACACCGTTAACAAGAAATTGAAAAAAGGGAGCGATTGCATCGGTCACTTAAACACAAGGGGGTCTGGTGCAGTTTTTAAAACACAATGGGGAAACGCGCACATTTCGTTAAACACAGGGGGGTTTGGTGCAATTAACCCTTCATTTATTATTTCGGGATTTGAAACTATTTTTAGAGTTTGCATATTACTTAATTGTAAACTATTCAGCACAAGTACAACACAGCACAAGTACAACACCCTTGATTGATGATGCGGATGAGGGCCGTCAGCTGAAGAACTCGTACAACCGGGCTCGTCGACCAATAATGAAGCTGCAGAAAAACAGCAGCATTCCAGGGGTTATCGCCGCTAAGGACCTTTAGCGGCGCTAAGGTCGGCTAGCGGCAGTTAGCGCGGACAGAGAGTTCACGTTATATTGATTAGCGGCCACTAATGACCCTTAGCGGCGGTAAGGTGCCGGTTGGAGCAGTTATTTTTATAGTTTTTTCTTCATTTTAGTGATTGTAATGTATTTATTAGGGGGAATTGAACAATGTACGTTTTTTTTTATCAAGTCTTTTATGAACTTTCACTACAAAAAGCTTGTTTCCAAGCATCAATTCGTGTCAAAGTCGAGTTCTTTAATTCGGTTTTGATACAAAATTCGATAATCGATACACAACATTTGTGCTTTCATTGAGAGTTACTAATAGTGTATCATGGCAACTAATCGAGAGAGGATGGATCACATGGAGGAAAGCATACGTGCAATGAGCGAAGATATTCAATCTGTTGGGTTCGCTAGTACCGTACGGGTGAAACACAGCGGAATTAAATTATTAAAAATATGTATTTATCATATAAATACACAATCCCGTACATACATGAAGCGAATAAACAGATCGTCATCTTTAAAAACATGTAATAATACAAATTTTGATTTATTATAAGTAATTTCGAAAATTACCTTAGTTCTTGAACTCCTTCAAAATCGATGATGATTGAGGAAATCAATTCCCGGTTTGATAACGTCAACTCCTTGATGCTACTCGTTTTAGGAATCCAAACGTCTTCCCTCTAATCGTATCCACCTTTTGAAGTCCGGTTCCTACAATAGTTCCTTTGCTAGTAGAAACTACTCAGTTTTTCAATAAGTATGGAATATATATATTTATAAGGAAATTTTCAAGAACTCTTTCTTGATATATCACTCAACTCTTTATTTTCTCTTGGAAGAAATCTTGCTCAAGACTTAGCAAATTTTGTGCAAACATTTTGCACCTATTTATACTAAATATTTTAGCATAAAATAATCAATATTTGATAATTAATTATTTTTAAATAAAATCAGATTTTATTTAAAAATTCATACCAAATATTGACTTTTAATAAATAATGTGGAGTGGTTTATAACCACCATCAACTAATAAAATAACCACCATCTCTCAATTATTTGAATCTTTAATCATGTGGAGTGGTTTATAACCACCATCTCTCAATTATTTGAATCTTTAATCATATTAAAGATAAAATAATAAAATAATAATTCTTGAAAACATTTTTCAAGACTTTATTATTTTAATCTTTTCTTCCAATTTCCTTATTTAACAATCATATTATTATTTGGATTTGAAATTTAAAATCTAATTTTAAATTCCAACTATTAATTAGTAATTTCATTAATTACTAAATTAATATCCAAAATCTAATTAATCAATCCAATTGATTAATTTAATATATTCCTTTAATTGTCATCTAATCAAATTAGATTTGTCAATTAATTCTAACTCTTAAGAATTACTATTTGAATTTTACCTTCATTCAAAAATTGGTGTGACCTTTTAGGTTCACAATTAATACTAGTAGTGGGTTTACAACTCTTTGTAATTTGCGTTATTCATATTAACTCTTATTCTTGAATTAACTCTTTAATTCAAGAACCCACATATCATGGGAACATCTAGCAAGTAGCATGAATCTAGTATTAAGTGAATAGCGAGTAAACCTATTTCGATTACAATTCCATACATGTAAAATCCTTTCGACATCCAATTTCCCGATTAAATCTTTGGGTATGATTTTGTCGAAACCCAAATTGATTTAATAACTATGATTCCATTTCAAGTTTAGTAATTCGTTTATGAATCTCTATCCATCCCGCCTTGGCCAAGGACTTTGAATTACTAACTACGAAACACATAGGAAATTCACTTATCTTCATAAGTGTCGAATCCTTTATTGGCCGTTAACAAACTTCCATACATATTAACATAATACCCAAAATATCCCTTTATACGATTGTGCTAGCAACCAAAAGAATAAATCAAAGTAGAATGTAATATGCACAAAGTTACAATTGTGCCTCAAGTCTAAGGACCAATCATGTACTATTGTAACATGAAAATACTTATTCGACAAGACAAATCTTTCATTAAGTATTTTCATACGGTCATGTTCAGTGAACTTATTCTCTAAAAAGCACTCACATATGTACTTGCGTCCCACGCTAATGTTGATAGAATGCAACATTCTTGTCCAACAAGCATACATACTATGTGCAATTCTTTTATGGATTATTCGATATCCCATCTCGAAACATCCATCGAATTGGAACTTTATTTAAGATCACTGCTTTCAAGGTATGTTCCATGATCACCATCTCTATGCGCAACCATACCTTATAACATATGTGATCTAGGGATTTTATCTTAAGTGCAATTATATGATAAATGCTTACTCTTAAGATAAAGTAATGCCTTTTAATAAATATAATTCCAATAGGT